CAGTTCCAGCTCCATTGTTCCAAATCGTGCATCTAAAGTATGTCCTGTCTTTGGCAATAGGGTCTTACCATTAAATCCTGGGAGGCAATCAAGGACTGAGCAATAGCCTGTGTAATTTTGGGAGTCTCTTGGACGACCCTGGCCAACAACTTCAAAGGAAGTTTTCTCCTGTCTGGCACTGTTTTTTCTTATGTAGTCTTCAGCTGTACTCATGGACTCATGTAGGGGTATTGTATGTGTAATTTTTCAGTAGGTTTTTTTACTAATACTAGTCCCTCTGGTTTTTTAATACAAGCTAGGCACTATTTGTCTCTCCTCTTTCTCTCCCTGCCTTACCCTCCCTCTCTGCCCTCCCCATTTAAAGTGTCCCCATTTTCCCATTTCTCCTTTGATAGTTTCTGTACGCTACGGTCTCACCTCTACTGAGCTCCTTCTTCCCCTTTATTCCCATGGTTCTTTGCATAGCCCTCCTTCTCCCCCTCCCCTTTAATTACCCCCTTTTCCATATTTCTCCCTTAGTAACACCTTTTTCCTACTATTCTTCTCTCTCAATTCCTTCTTTCCCTTTACCTCCCTGGCTCTTGGTTCCTGCAGTTACATCAGGTTATGAACTCACTTATAGGGATTTGGTGCTAGGATTCACAAATGAGGGAGAACATATGTCTTTGTTTTTCTGAGTCTGTGTTATTTCACTTAGTATAACAGTTTCTGGGTTCATCCATTTACCTGCAAATTTCATTATTTCATCTTTCTTTACCACATTCACTCATTCTTATGCATACATTGTATGGTAGTTTGTAAAAGGTCTAAACGCTAGGGATAATAAGAAAAATGAGCAAAGGTCTCAGACTTCAGATTTGAGCTTTATTTTATTTTATTTTTATTTTATGTGTAGGAGTGTATTGCCTGTGTGTGTGTACGTGCACCCATGTCGTGCAATGCCTGTGGAGATCAGAAGAGGGTGTCGGATCCCCTGGAACTGGAGATACAGACAGTTGTTAACTGCCATGTGGATGCAGGTCTAAAGGAGCTGAGCTCCCAGCACCCATATCAGGCTTCTCACAACCACCTGTAACTCCACCTCCAGGGGTCCAATGCCTCTGGCCTTCATGGGCACTGGCACGTGTTCACATACCCACATGAAGACATGCACACACAGACACATAATTAAAAATGAAATACATTTTTTAAAACTTGAAATAAAGAAGATAGCATAGGTAGACAAATAGATGAATCTGCATATAGATCTTATAGACCTGAATACAGTAGAGGGCTTTATTTTGTAGATGACAATTCATTTTAATCCTTTCTCAGTATTTTAAAAAATATTTTCTTCTATTTGCATGAAACAAATACAGAGCATTTTCTCTTCATGGTTATTTTGAGAAATCAATTATTCAACGTTTTGAAAATACAAAATGCTATTTAATATGTTCAATTGTAGTGGCTAGAACACAATTGGGCTTCTTGATTTCTGCTTGGCAATATTCCACTAGTTTGTTATTTTAGATATAGCCTATAAATAAAACAGGCTGAGTTGATGTATATTTGTCACAGCAACACCACAGTAAATAAAAATAATGCAACAACTGATAGCTGCTAGAGGAGGGAAAGTCAGCCTGCCTCAAGGGTGTGACCGTGGGAGGTACACTGTGCTCTTGTGGATGGCCCCACACCAAGAGCATATGGGCAGTATAAATTAGACTTAATGGGTTTTTTAAAATATGAGGATGCAAAATTGGGTGGGAAGGGAAGGGGGATGGATCTAGCTGGAGTTCGGGGAGGGAAAGTGAGTATGATCAAAATACATTGTATCTAATTCTCAAGAACTTAATACAAAATTGAAAAGAAAAAGAGAATCATTAAAACAAAATCAAACAAGAAAAGAATGATAATAATAATTCTGTCTTTTCCATTCCAGGGCATTTTTAAAGTTTAGTTTTTGGGTTTTTGGTTGCACAGTTTTTCTCATCTTTTTATAGAAGGGACAGTAATTTTCAAAATAGGTCAGAAAGATTGTGTGTAGATTGAAATTTTTCTTTATACTGTGTCATGAAGTTTAGAGCAAAGCCATTTTTACCTAAATCTGAATCGATTGGTCTGTTCTGCTTAGAGAATGCTTTCTTGGAAATCCACTGAGCAGTAAACATCTCAGAGCATCCCACCAAGTTTTCGGAATCCAAGAGGAGAAATCAGTATAATTCCTTTCACATCCCTTACAGACTTTGTGATAAGGATTAGTTGTGATGAACCTTACCACAAATTTCCGTGGCTCACTGGACACAAACATTTCCTTGAGAGATGCACCTTCATCAATAACAGAGTGATAAGACAGTGTGTTCTAACATAAAGTTACAGGCCTGAATACAAACTCAGGGAAACTTCTGGAGTCTCAGTTCCTGCTACATAAGAATAATAAGGCCCAAACTGGCAGCCCAAGAAAGAGAAAAGGGCAGTAGGTCACTGGACCTGGCGGGTCTGACACACACGACTGCACTTCACCATCAGCATTCAATGCCCCTTTCTTGTGAAGAAATAGATATGTTCTTAGCTAGAAGGGATGGGAGTTCATTGCAAGGTTTGGTACTAGAGCCAGCACCTGCTGGTTTCCATTTTTATGTGCTGTTACTAAAACTGTTTTAATCTGGTGAGTGACAAGTTTATCTAAAACATACTTTTTGTCTTTGCGCATTTTGCTAAAATATTGTTAACAGCCTATACGTTTTAGAAAGTGATTCGAAATCAGCAATTAAAGACTGATAACATCTTTCTAAAAGCACAGATAACTAAGCAAGTACAGCTTTATAGAAACACTTCTAATAAGAAAACCTGAATATAATCTATTCCAATATGGCCCTTTTAAAATGTGACATTACTCTTGAAAAAAAATGAAGGTCACAGATGTATCTCCTGTTCCTTCACCTTTCTCCAACAAAATCTCTGATACTAATAAAAATTTCATCTGATGATATCTTTGGTACCTACTCTTGTATTCTGTGACCAAGACATTTTCCTCTGTCTCCTTGATGCTAGACTGGCATTCTTTGTTTTATAAAATTAAGCAGACCTGGGTCCTAGTCTTCAACTTTTCCTCTCCAACCAACAGGCAGACTTTACTCAGGTGTGTTGGTCAGCTTTACCATGATGATAACAAATACCTAAACTAATCAATTTTATGGAGAAAAGGTTATTTTAGCTCCCTGTCTTGGAACTTATAGTCAGTGTTTTGCTG